ACTGAACAAGATCAGGAAGACAGTGCCGGGGCGTGGAGGTGGGTGGTGGAAGAGGAGGCCGGTGCGAGGATGGGGTGTCATGGTTCTAAGGGCGTCGGCTGAGAGCGCATGCACCCCTCGATTCACAGGCCGGACAGATCAGGGAATGTCGGTGTGCAGAACCCAGCGTCTTGTAAACAGTGGATTTAGGTCCAGCAGGCCCAGGGTGAGGCTTAAGATTCCACACTATCAACAAGCTCTTAGGCCTTTTTCGGTTAAGAATCATTCCCGGTGCGAGCAAATGCTAGCCTGAGAAACTCCGTCCAAGGGATGCGCTGGACCGGGAAGAACAGGGCCCAAGCGTGGGTTTTAAGAGAGTGGCTGGACCTGCCCTGCCCCAGGGGGTTTGGGCTGGACCGAGAGTCACGGGGCAGGGTGAGGAGAGGTTGGAAGACAGATGCAGCGAGCATGGGCAATAGTACAAAATGGGAGAAAGAGGCAGGGATGGACGTGTGGCCACAGGAGAAGGTGGAGAAAGAGAGACCAAAGGGATCCCGCGTTCGTAAACGTTGGGGACAGAATAAATGATTGTGACAGAACGGAGCCAGCGCTTCCCTCTGATTGGCTGTGGCACCGGCAGCGTGGTGAAGGGGTGGGGGGGTTTCTGTGAGACCTGAGCAGGTGAGGTGGGGATGGATGCTGGGTGCAGCGGAGAACCTTAGGGTTACCGCCAGGCCCTTCAGAATGATGCTGCAGCTGGGGACACGCGGTGGGAGTGGGGTAAAAGATCAGGCGGGCAGACAAGAGTTCACTCTCATACCAAGGGGGGAGCCAGGTGTGGTCCCGATGGAAAGACCTGGAAATGCAGAGAAAGTTAGATGGGTTCCCGATTTCTCAAACGACTTCTTGTCATGCTGAACTCCTAAGTGTCTACGATTCTCTCCCAGGTTAGTTTAAAATGCTTGGGGTGTGGTGTCAGGACACACCTGGGTGGGGAACGCCTAGGGCAAGGGGAGTGGGCCGGGATGAGTCAGGTACGAATCAGTGATACGGTGCAGGAGGCAGTTCTGCCTGATGGACACAGATACTCTGGTGGCAGCCCTGAGCCTGAGGCTGAAACCGCGCTCCCTCCTTGTCTTCCCAACACAGCTATCTCCTCCGGTTCCCCTTCCCAAGTGCTCTGCAGTGTCCACGGTCCGGTTCTGTCCTCCGGAGCTCCAGGGCCACCAACTTCCACATCTGTCAAACCGGAGGAAGGAGCCCCCCAGCTCTGAGTGGGGCGTGAACCTGGCGTACCTGTCTTCCTACAAAGGGCTCTCATGCCCCGTGTCCACTCCCACCCTCCTTCCTGAAGCGGCCTCTCGGGCTGAGAGATGACCTTGCCCCCGACCCGCAGGATCTGCAGCAAGATGGTGAGTTTTGCGGCCAACAGGGCCGTGCGCACCTGTATGTAAGCC